TAAACACTTGTAGTGTTTAATGAAAGGAGCTCTGGTAACATAGTGGTTACAAATCGGGCTGCGAACCAGAAGGTCAGCAGTTCGAAACTACCAACTGTTCCGCGGGAGAAAGATGAGGCTTTCTGCTCCTGTAAAGATTTACAGCCTCGGAACCCCTGTACAGAGTCGCTATGAGTCGGAACCGACTCCACGGCACATAACAACAACAAAGTGTTTAATGAAAGTCAACTTTGCCTTTAATTTTTCTTTGTTTTCCTCTTGATTTCTAAGTAGATGTGAGTGCAAGTTATTTTATATGCCAAATATTTATTTACAACAATCTAATCACCTCATATGATAATAATTTTAAATTTATATTAATAATTATATATGGGGTCCTGATGAGGTGCTGTAGGGTAAGCACTGGACTACTACTGAAAGGTTGGCACTTCAAAACCACCCCTCCACAGAGTTCCTACAATTTGGAATCCACTCAGTAGCACTTAACATTTATGCATGTTTTCAGGACAATATCTTTGAATATTCTATATCTAGATTGAGTTCTAGGTGATATTGTCATGTATATTAGTTGTCTGTTGTTGGTTCTCTGTTCAAAGAACTCCTTTTAGTATGTTTTGTAAGGTTGATAGGATTTTTGCAGATTCTTTTAATTTCTGTTTATTTGGAAATGTCTTAATTTTGCCATATTTGATGGACAATTTTGCTGGGAATATGATTCTTGATTGGCAATTTTTTTCTTTCAGAGTTTTATATATGTCAGTCCATTGTCTTCTTGCCTGCATGGTTTCTGCTGAGAAATCAGAGCTTAGTCTTATAAGTTCTCTTTTGTAGGTTACTTCTCATTTTTCCTGAGCTGCTCTCAAGATTCTTTCCTATTAGGTTCCAACTCGCTGCAACCCTGTACAGTTTCCAAGGAGCAGCTGGTGAGCTTGAACTGCTGGCTTTACATTGAAACTGACTTTGCAGCCAGCACATTAACCCACAGCACAGCACCAGGACTCCATGATGTTAGGGAAGCTTCATTCCAACAAGTCTTGAACAGTTATTTCCTCTTCTGGGATTTCAATCATGCGTCAGTTATTATTCTTGATTTGTTGTTGTTGTTAAGTGCCGTGGAGTCTTGATAGTATCCTACAAAATCTTAGGCTTTCTTGAGATTCAAAAAAAGTTTTGTTTTGTTTTTTCTGATTGTTCCTTTTGCAGATCACTATTGAGAAATTTGTCTTTAAGCTCAGTAATACGGCTTTACATTGCTTCAATTCTACTTTCTTTTAATGTATTATGTATTTTTGTAGTCTTAATGAAGGAGCTCTAGTAGCATAGTGGTTATGAATCGGGCTGAGATCCTCAAGGTCAGCAGTTCGAAACTACCAGCTGTTCCTTGGAAGAAAGATGAGGCTTTCTGCTCCCATAAAGATTTACAGCCTCAGAAACCCTGTGTGGTAGTCTTAATGGCTGCCTTTGTATGGGTTCCAATTTTTCATTTGTTTTGCCAGTTTGTTCTTGAAGTATTTTCCTGTAAATTTATTAAATTTCCTGTAAATTTAAGTTATTCTTAAGTTTTTTGTTTGTTTCTGTGTTCTAGTTGCTTTCCTCAATCTTTCCCTTAATCCATTGAAAGTACTAAGTTCCATTCCTTTAAATTCCTTACTTAATACTTCTGATATAGTTCTGGTATATATTTTCTGACTACATTTTGGTCACTTGTTTGAGCTGCTCGGTCTTGTTTCTTCTTGTCAACTAAAATTGTTTTCGCAAAGATGTTGTGGTGTCTTTGTATTTATATTTAATTAACAATTGTGTATTAGTGTCTTCTCAGGCACGCAACTCCTGTATCATGTTGGGTGTGACTGAAAGTGAGAATGCAGTTCTCTGTTTGCTGTTTGTATAGAATAGTTTAGGGTGAGTTCACTTCTAGTGCCCAACTCCAGGTAGAGCTGAGGCTGCCCAGGAGGGAATGCCAATGGTCCTAGACCGGCCACATCTCCCATTATTAGGAGGGCAGAGATCAAGGAAGAACCTCATCTCCCTTGCCCCCAACCTCTAGCCACATCCTGTGCCTACAGGCCACTGTGTCAACAGCCATATGCAAAAGTTCAAGATGACTATTTGTTAGTGATGTTCCACTCCAGCTGACAGCTCATCCATTTTTCTTCTCTCATGCTGCTCCTCTTAAGTCATTCTTCTAGTCAGCACACAATCTACCTCTCTCTATCCTTAACTTTGAAACTCAAGGTTCAGGGTTCACCATCTGTATCTGTTTCACCTGGTCTCCCATGTATTTGTTGCAGAGGGTCTGCTCAGTGTCTCTGCCTACTTTGCCACCTGTCCCCAAACTAGGACAGTAAATCTTTATGGGAGCAGACAGCCTCATTTTTCTTCTGTGAAGTGACTGGTGGGTTTCAACCACTGACCTTGCAGTTAGCAGCATAATGCTTAATCCACTGAGTCACCTGGGATCCTTAGTCAACAAGACATACAGATTAAATCTGATTTGTAAAAGGACAAAACTTTGCTTCTCTAGCCAGAGAGTACATGATTCTCTGATCAGCTCAACTCTCCTCACCTTCAAAGACTAAATCTACCTGCTAAGAGCTGACATAGTGTTTGATAAACTAGAAGTAACAATGGGAAGTTCCTTGATGGCAGGAGCTTTATTCGAGCCTCCCACATTAATAATTTACATTTGTTATATGAGTAAATGATCTGGTCTTGCATCCCAAACTCAGGTGTGGCATTTCTGATGACAAATGCTATGTGAGAGAAGAGAGGAATGGTTAATGAAGGTTTCTAATTTTCAAAGCCAAAATTTATTTAATATTTAAAATGTATTTAAAGCATAATTTTTGGAGATAATTAAAAGACTTCTTCTGAGATCAGTATACCAACTCCTACCAGAGGACACAAGCCCAGAGAAGTGGCAAGAGCATCTGATTTGGAATCTGAGCTCTGGGATTCAAGTGCTGACTTTGGAGTGTTTTTCTCTAGCAAGTCATTTAATTCTTTGGAGCCTCCATTCCTCAGTTATCGAAGGGGAATACAAATAAGGTTTGCTATTTATTCATGTATTCACTCAAGAGAGATTCATTGAGCATTTACTTTATATTAGACACTGGATTTATTAAGGCTAAGATTCTTGAGGAAAAAATTGGAATAACATGCATAAATCTCTTTATAAAATCCAAAGTACTATGTAAACACCATTTAATAGTTATTACAAATATGTGTGGCACTGTGGGTCAATGCGCTGGACAGTAAGGTTGGTTTGACCCACAAGGTCAGCAGTTCAAGTTCACCAGCTGCTCCTTGGAAACCAAACCATATGCAGGGTCGCTATGGGTTGAAATGGACTCTATGGCACTTACACACACACACAAATATGAATACTGTACCTCCATTTCTAGGCTTAGAAATAAAGACACTTAATGCCAATCCTATCATCCCTCTTCCAGAGTTGAAAAAGGAATTGTGATGGTTTATTTAGTCCTTATAAAGTAAACGTTTTTATATTGTCACCCACAGTATAACAGCAAATTATTTGATTGCTAATTCAAATATTATTTACCTGGTAAAATTATCCAGAAATTGCCTTACTTCTAAAACACAAACGTAGGCATAGAAAATGTAGGCACATTTAAAGTGAACCAAATACTATACATTATTTTAACTTTAAAATGATGACTCCTGTGGTAAAAGATTACCCAAGTTATAATGACTTCAACAAGCTCATGCTTGTGTGATTTCTAAAGCCAAATTCATATATGAATAGCAAAAGGGATCCCTTCTGGTAAATCTAACCTGCTGGGTGGACATTATGCAAATGATAACCTATCTTGCAGGAAATATTAACAATTGAAATTCTTGATAGAAAGACATGACACTTCAGAAGAACATATTTTTAATGATTTCTAATAATATGTGGCAAACAAAATTTTATGACAAGCTTTAACAGTAGCAAAATTTAAAAGCAATAATTATGTGTTTTGACAATGACCCTTAATGATGGTAACCAGATTAACTACAGAAAATGTGAAGGATGAGCTAAATTTAACATTTGTTTTCATTCGCTGTACCTTGCCTAAGTTTTAATTTTATCTTAAAATATAATTTCCATGTTATTCCTTAAAAAAAAAATAATAATAAGTGATTTGAGCCCTCCTGCCTCTCAGTGAGAGAAATATGAGGCTTTCTGCTCCAGCAAAGATTTAAATCCTCAGAAGTCTTATCCAGGTTTGCTTATGAGTAAGAACTAACGTGAAGACACTTAAAGCAGATATACTTTACTGTTTTTTTCTAGTCTAATTTTTTGAGCACTGATTTAAACATTATTGTTTCCTGAACTTGGTAGCATATGCCATTTCTTTTTAAAAAGATTAAATGGCACAGTGACCTAAATGAAATGTTACGATTTTAACACAATTTTATTTACAGGACATATATTAGTAAAATGAAGTAGCAAAACATAAAATGAAATACCAAACTCATTTTCTTTTACACAATTTCTATTGTTCTCTGCATCTGAATTACAAACTGTTTGCATTTGCAATGGAGTTCATAGTGTGCTGAGAGTTAGTGTAACTGACTCCAGTCTCAGGGATATTCTTGAACACGTTTGCTGCTCTCTGCTTTACAAATAACAAAACTCACCTTAGCTGGAAACCTATCTAGGTCGCTGATATCTTTTGGGCTGGTATAGTTCTGGCCACACGAATGGGGCCTTTCGTGATTCTTTTTGTTGTTTTAAGTACTTTTACATGCATGATTATGCCCACAGGTAACAGGAAACCAGAATTTCAAAAGAAAACTTGATCACATTGCTAGATAACACAGGTATCCTAAACAAGTGCAGTGCAAGAGCGCCTGGAGGCTCTACACTGCTGCTGCTGCTGCTGCTGCTGCTGCCAGAAGTACATATTTTTTTGATTGGTAAGAACTGCCAGATGACGCTTCATGAAATATAAATGCCAGAAAGACTCAGAGAGCACAATGAAACTTTCCACCCATCATTCTAGAAGGATAGGAGAAAGACACTATTAAGCAACTGCAGGAAATGGCTTTCGGAGTCCCAATATCTGTCTACCTTTTGTTCAATGGTAGGTAATTTCCTTTTTATGTTTTGTTAACTTTGTAGCAGTATAAAATGAGAATAGAATTTATTTCCTCTGAATCACAGAAAAGTTGGCTTCTAATAGTTATTCATGACAGAGATCAAAGAAGGGAATCTCTGGATTAATTTAGCTTCTTAAGTAATTTGTGCTTCCCTCCTAATATGTTCCACACCTCTTTGAAATCTCTAAAATGTTTGCTTGGTGCACTTCAAGAGTAGTTAATACATTTAACTACTCCACAATCCTGTTCTTTTGATTGAATTGTATGTAAGTGAGTTCACTTTCTGTTCAAGATTAGTGTGTTTCTATTTTTCATAATACGGTGATTATTATAAAAGTCAATAGAATTGTTATGAATGAAAATAGAAAGTTACCCTAGTCAGAATTTGGATTTTCAATGTAAATGAAATAACAATAGACTAGAAACTGGAAGATATAGAAGAACTCTGGGCCTGTTGCTTGTACATAGAAGGAGGCTTGCATGTTAAAGATACCTTTCTCCCCATTTGCTACAGCAATGGCAGCATTTACTGAAGAGGCAGCCATCACTGTAATGCCACCTGTCACAACCCAGCAAAGTAACTGGACAGTTAACGAAACAGAAGGTATTTTCTTTGCATTCTTATCATCCCAGTGATTTTTTTTTATTTTTAGTTTTTTTGCTTTTTAGAGAATTTTGAATTCTGACAAAAACGATATTAGCAAATTTTAAATATATGTTTTATTATTAGATAGTCAACTGTTTAGGGCAGAATGTTTTCAATGGAAGTGACAGGTAAATGTGTGATCAAAAAGTTGCCTTTTTAAAAGGATGGAAAGTAGAACTGTAAGTGTAACATATTTGTCTTCAGTTACTGTGTTGATGTGAAATATCCCACATTTAAGTTCTGCTTGGTTCCCTGTGACCCATGTATAGCCAGAGGCAGATAAACCCCATTTGAGTTTCTTGATTGGCATCATATTTTGGTCTGTGATTGTCAGTATTTTAGCCAATAAAATTATGGATACAGAATTAAGCATCAATTCACTTTCCATCAATACTGGAAATATATTATAATCTTGTTTTTGTTTGTGTTCATTTGGGTCATGGGAAGCTTTTGTTTTTCCGTATATGCTGCATTTCCTAACCACCTGTAAACCAATGTTTTGTTGTTGATGGTGATGATATATTTTCTTTTCTACTTTATGATCATTATTACAATGACTTTGGCTGCTGTTGAGAGCATCAGCAGTTTTTCAAACCTGTTTGAACTCTTAGAGGTGAACTTGGAAAGCCTGCTACTTTCCAAGACCTGTGTGTTAGGTAGTTAGGATACTTTCATAAGCAAATCATATACTGTCCCCTGATGTAAATCCAGGCAAATAAAAAAGGTCAAGTCAAATATTTTATTTCTGAATGTGAAAGATAGTAATGTGTAAGTAAATGAAGTAAGTTCCTCATTTCACTAAAGTTTTTCATTTTCAAAAGGTTTACTTTAAAATACGTTACTCATCCCCCCCCCCCTCATCCCGCCCCGCAAACAAAATTAGTGTGGGTCTTAATACAGCTTCAACTGTTAAGCCTGAGCTATATGTTTGTGGTTTCTTGGACAGCTATAACAATACTTCTTTTGAAGTCATTTAGGGAAAACCCCTTTTCAATGATCCACTTATGGCAGTGCAGAAGAAGGGGGAAATTCTCACCCTACTTTTCCCCAAGGAGGAAAGAAAATTAAGTTCCTGATCTCATAAATGTACATCTAAAATGCCTTAAATTCTGACTTCTCAAATGTAAAGGGAGATAATGAAAGGATAGTGCAAAATCTTTTGTATTTATTAGCATTCTGAGAACTTTTGGGAAGCTCTAAAAATGATCTGCTAAAACTAGAATCAATACTGCCACCTTTTGGCAAACTTGTATGTCCAAACCTTATTATGTAGCTTCTAAAAAATGAAACAATCATGGATTCACCTCCACCCTCTAATTACTTATGTGTCGTGTTGTTGTTGTTAAGTGTTGTCAAGTCCATTCCAACTCATAGCAACCCTGTATGGGTTTCCAAAGAGCAGCTGGTGGGTTTGAACTGCCAACCTTGTGACTAGCTTTCCAGTACTTTATTCTACAGCACCATGGTCTGTTGCTGTTGTTAAGTGTCGTCAAGTCAATTCCGACCCATAACAACTCTGTATAGGGTTTCCGAGGAGCCTGAACCATGCAGTTCAAATGGCTTTGCAGTCTGGCACATTAACCCACAGTACCAATTAGATGATATTAACTCTATCCCTGTGAATACAGCCTGTTAAGGGGAATACTACTTCAAAGAGAGAGCATTCAATGTGTTAAGAACTGACTATATAATATGGCACACTTAATTTGTTACTGTTGGATTTTCTTTTCCTAGTTGACTATGTAGAAGGACCCATAGCCTTGAAGTTCTCACCTCCTTGCCTAGAAGACCACAATAGTTATTGCATCAATGGTGTTTGTGCATTCCATCATGAGTTGGAAAAAGCTATCTGCAGGTAATTGCAAAGAACTTTCCAGGTTCTAGAGACAAGAGAAGGTGAATTTATGCCTCTTGTGTTTCACATGGTTTAATTCCTCACCTCTCTCTGATCTAGTAAAACAGGCACATGACCTGAATTCCCTTTTATTTGATTATCTAAGAAGTATTTTTTCTAAGATACCAAATCTTCATTTCTCAAAAGTATGGTTCCCAGAGATGGAGGCAGAGATGATGACATGGAGAGATAGAGCAGCTGAGGACCCTGGACTCAGGGAGGGAGAGGG